TAAGGGAGCCACAGAGGAGGGCCCTGCTCCATCCCGGGTGCATCTGCAGTGGCCTGCCAAGCTCAGGCTAGACACAGTGTTGGAGCCTTACATCCTTCATAGCTGCTGTCTTCTTGCCCCTCAGACCAGGAGGTGCACGAAGGAGAGGCCTGCGTACGCACTGAGCAGCAGTGACGATGAGGATCCATCACGGGAGATTGGAGTCACTTACAAATCAACAAGGTCGGCGGTAAGGACTGGGCAAGAATGTGTCAGATCAAGTGGGACTGGCAGATCCCACAGAGATAGAATTTGCCTCTGCAAATGTGGGATCAGCCATTCCTTCTTTTTTATCTGTAGATGCACCTCCCTGTCCCTTCCCTCTTGTCTATTAGACAAGCACCTTGTGCTGTGTTTAGTTTTGGGCCCCTCACTACAAGAAGGACGTTGAGGTGCTGGAGCGTGTCCAGAGAAGGGCAACGGAGCTGGGGAGGGGTCTGGAGCACAAGTCTTACGAGGAGTGACTGAGGGAACTGGGGTTGTTCAGTCTGGAGAAGAGGAGGCTGAGGGAGGACCTTATTGCCTCTACAACTACCTGAAAGGGGGTTGTGGTGAGGTGGGTGTTGGTCTCTTTTCCCAAGTAGCTAGTGATAGGGCAAGAGGAAATGGCCTCAAGTTGCGCCAGGGGAGGTTTAGATTGGATATTAGGAAAACTTTCTTCACCAAGAGAGTAGTCAAGCATTGGCACAGGCTGCCCAGGGAGATGGTGGAGTCACCATCTCTGAAAGTGTTCAAAAAACGTGGATGTGGCGCTTCAGGACATAGTTTAGGGGGCATGGTGGCTTTGGGTTAACGGTTGGACTTGATGATCTTGAAGGTCCTTTCCAACCTTAGTGATACTGTGATTCTGTTTATTCTCCTCATACCCCCTGCATCCTCAGGAGGCCATCAAAGGTTGGCCTTTCCCCCTTAGAGGTGGGAATTAAAACCCCAAGATGCCACTGGGCTTGCACAACATCACACAAAATTTTCAGGAGAGGGAGCACTTGAATCAGGTTTGCCTTACTGTTGGGTTGATGTTTTCAGTTTTAGGCCATCTTCCTTCACAAAGAATTCAAGGTGACTTAGAAGGTGCTCCCATCTTTATCCCTGTGACTAGTGATGGATTAAGAGCTACAGAGATCGATCATTGTTTTCTTGGGATTGATGGGTGGAGTGTGCTGGGCGTCCTGTGTTAAAGGAGCAGCCGCTGCCCAAGCATTCACACACCAATCAAGGAGCCGCAGACACACCACCTGAGACTTTAACTGCTAGGACCAGGGTCCCTTCGCAGCAAGCAACTCCAGTGAGCTGATGGGTGCCCCTTTCGACTCCACACACACACACTCACTCTTGGGCACTTCCTCTTCCCTCAGGCTCGACCCGAGGTTTCCCAAAGCAGAATCTCTGACATGACATACGCCAGACAAATTTATTAGGTGGTACAGCGATGCAGAACAGCTCGAGCTGGGTGCTTCTGGAGAGGGACCCCCAAACAAAAGAATCTCTGGGCAATTAAACCCTTACAGTCTAAGTTCCCCTCCCCTCATGAGACGGTTCAGTTGAATTGGAGCATTTAGGTCTGGGGTTTCCTTGCTCCTCGTTGGATCCTTTCACTCCCTCCAGACGAGACATTCTTTTTCTTTTCTCGAGGAGGCAACTTCTGCTGATGGATGTGCCTGTCTTTCTTACCTTTCTAATTTACACCAGTTTCGGGGCCTTCCCTCATGTAACTAAGAGTTCAATATAAGTTCATCAGTATCTAGGTGAAAGTTCACAGCTTGCGACGTAAGGCTTTTAACTAATGCTATACAATGGATTCCGTTTGAACTAGGAGGTGACTCCTATAACACCTGTTAACATCTGGAGTGGAGAGAAATCAGCTGTGAAGGTTTGGGCACAGCTCAAACTGCTTTTCCCACTAGATTTTTCTCTTAACTTCCCTCTTGATCCAGTGAAGTTTTGCCCATTAGTATGAGCCTGGGCAAGATATAAGTAGGATTAAAAGCAGGTATCAACACATGTTCCTCTTTGGACCTATTTCCTTATTTCCTGTGCCTCTGTATAAAATGGGAATAATGCCTAACTGTCCCCAGTCGAAGCTGCAGGGTCAGACTGAGGTCTCCTTGTCACATTAGAGATTAATATGAATATAACCTTGTGCTGTAATTATTCACTGCTTTGGCTGCTGCCAAGGAGGGCAGTATTTATTAGCCCTCTTTGCTGTAGGAGAATGGGAAGGCAACAGGAGGAGATGACAGTTTTGGGGCTCCAGAAGCTTTTTGGCACCTAAGTTGGATTAGGTTTTAATTAAGGCTGGCTGTAATTATTCTTTGGTTTCTGTGCAGCTGTTCCTGAAGATCTGATAAAACCTAGGAATAGGTATCTGTTCAGTCCATTAAAGAGGAATCTAAACCAGATCACTGTATTAAAACTGAATGTAAGCCACCCACAGCTGGGTTAAAAGTTCAGATACAACATCCTACATGTAGGCGGGATGGTCTCATGATTGAAGTGTTGGACATAGGAGACCTGAGTTCAGCTTCCAGCTGAGCCGAGGGTGAGCATGAAGGAGTAAAGTATGGACAAGTGTTTCCTGCAAGCACTAGGCTGGGTCTGGCCCATGGGAGATTCTCCCTGGCAGGTGCTAAGGGATGCTAGAAACTGGTGGGAGTAAAGCAGACCATGTCCAGTACTGGCTCTGTGACCGACCCTCCAGGTAGCCAAGGAGCTCTCTGTCCTATACAGGTTTTCTCTTCACTGTCATCACAAGTCCTCCTTGCTTTTCAGAAACCTGTTGGCCCAGAAGACATGGGAGCCACAGCAGTGTATGAACTGGACACAGAGAAGGAGAAAGATGCCCAGGCCATCTTCGAGCGCAGCCAGAAAATTCAGGAGGTGAGTCAGCCATGCTATGTAAGTTGCTCTGCAACAGGAGAACATGTGCTTTACTGATCCCGTTCTGCACACCAAGAAGAGTTTGAGTCCTTCCTCCTTGGGAATTTGAGAAGCCAGGATTGTAACTCTTGTAAGCAGGGGAAATTTTTGGCTTCATTGGCATCTTGGTATTATGGAAGGCAGGGCTGGGAAGGGAGACTGGTGTCAGAGAGGTGAAAATTTAATCTGTGACGTGAAGCCCTCCTGCCCCTTAATCACTTTTCTTTTTGCTTTCCAAGGAGCTGAGAGGAAAGGAGGATGATAAAATTTACCGTGGTATTAACAACTACCAGAAGTATGTTAAGCCCAAGGACACGTCAATGGGAAATGCCTCTTCAGGAATGGTCAGGTAGGTCGTGATGCGCCTCGGAGGACTGGAACCACAGAGGAGCTCAGGCACGTTCCCCAAAGGCACTTGTTTGGGGCTTAAACTTTGCTGTTACTGCCAGCTTCTTTCTGTCTAACGAGTGCGGTGTTTGGTTCTGACCAGGCCCCCAGGGGCCTTCTCCACTGCAGCTGCGCAGCCGGCTTGAGCCTTCTCCCACCCTTTCAGAAAAGGACCCATCCGTGCTCCAGAGCACTTGCGGGCCACGGTGCGATGGGACTACCAGCCCGACATCTGCAAGGACTACAAAGAAACTGGCTTCTGCGGTTTTGGAGGTGAGTGGATCTTGCCTGCAGCTGAACATGTGCTGTGCCAGATTTGCGAAGGGATCCAGTCCAGCTTGTGAGCCTGGATTTGTGGCGCTAAGATATGCGCTGATTTACAAGCACGTGTCTGCAGAGCTGGTGTGTGATGCTCTTGCAAAGTTGTTTTATGCAACGTTCTTGTTACCTGTGTCAGCCCTTCTGAAAGCTGGTGGCCTCTAGTCAATAAATGTAAGAATACTGGGAGGGACCCCTGGGATGTTCCAGTGATGCACATTCCCACAGGTATTCTGGCTGCCGAGGCCATGTGAGGGATGGGATTTCCTGTTCCTTATCCCACTTCCCATGTGTGCAAATGCTGGAACTGTCGCTGTGGCACACAGAGCAGGATCCTCATGGCCTGTCAGCCCTGAGAGGGATCCTGTGCCTGCTCCAGGAGCTTGGCACTGCCCTGGAGCACAGGCGAGTGGGGAAGCAATCGGGTTTCATATCTGTGCACAAAGCGCAGGCTGCCCCTGAATGAAATGTCCTGTTAACACTCTACCCCACACGGCCTAGCTGTTAAATTTCTTCTTTCTTTGTGCTGCTCAGACAGCTGCAAATTCCTCCACGACCGCTCGGACTACAAACACGGCTGGCAGATCGAACGGGAACTGGATGAAGGCAGATACGGAGTCAATGGTATGGCATCACCCCTCTGCTCTCCAGCTCCCTAAGCTAAAGGTGGACGAGGCTACCAGGTCCTGCCTTTTATCATGCCCTAAAGTGAATGTGACTTAGGGATATTGGATCACTAAGAATGAAACGGGACCTTTGCTGTCTCAAACTACATGGGCCACGGGTTGAATTAATATTAGACAGAAAGGATTCTTTATTCCAAAGCTGTGGAACTCCCTGCTGCAAGGGCAAATAACCACTGACAAGTGCTGAGGAAATCTGCTGCTTTCAGATAATCACTGACTGCCACCAGAGAGAATTATTTCCTCTGGCTTTCTGTAAAAGGATAGCACTGCTGTTGTCAGGTCCCAGCAGCGAGCTGCGTGGAGCTATGGAGATGTGACCGTTTCCGGCCTCCCATATGCCCAGGAGGTAGGATGCTTTCATGCTACATCACGTCATTATTTCTCACTCGCAGCATCCGTAGCTGCGGCCCAAGGCTCATGAGTGTTGGTCGTGAACCACTTTGCAGCTGGGGGGAAGAGGGTATTCTATGTTCAGTTGGAGCCAAAGAGTTTGGTGGCAGCTGGTTTGGAAGAAAATCTAAGAAACAGGAGGGGGCTGGAGGATCTGTCTCTTTATAGCGGTGAGTGGGCGACGTAGAAAAGAATTTGCTCTTGTGGGATGAGCAACAAGCACACTGGCTCATTAGACCTAATTATATCTTAGTCCCACATGCATTACTGACATCAGCAACACCCAGATGCCAGAGCTCTATTGTTTCCAGCACAGATTTAATCCCACCTGCTGTGGTCTCTCCATATTTAATATTTCATGCCCTACATATGGGCTGGGCTGGCTGCCTCTGCTCTTGCTCCAGTCTGGCTAACCTTCTCTGCTGCAGATGAGGAGAACTATGAGGTGAGCAGTGATGAGGAGGATATGCCTTTCAAATGCTTCATCTGCAGAAGTTCCTTCAAGAACCCTGTGGTCACCAAGTAAGTGGTTGTTTTGGCAGGAGGAGCCAAGTGGCTGCTGTTGATCCAGCTCACTACTTACTCACTGTGAAGGCAAATACAAACACTGCCCACAGGCTGGTGGGTGGAATCTGCTTGTTATCTGGTGGGTGGGGAAATCCTCCGATAACCAGGTAGTCGTATAACTGTATCTATCATCTGGAGCATCCCCTTGGAAGGGATCTCAAGCCTTTGTTGTCCAGGCACCTTTTAGATTTCCACAGAGGCTGCCTCATTACATCATCTTTCCCCTTAATCTGGAGATTTTGTTTCCATGCCTTCATTCCTCCCGACACTGAGCAGCACACCACATTGCATTAGCAGAGAACAGAAGCATGGCAAGGATGAAGAGTAGGCTCAGCGGGCAGTGTGGACATCACACACTGCCAGCCCTCTCCCACACTGCTGGCTGTGTTGCTGGGTACCTGCTGTCTGGACAAGCTCACTGGTGATTCTGTGCCATCACTCCACATCAGTGAAGCAATGCTGAAACACCTTTCATGGGGACAGTGATTCAGAGGAAGCTCTGCATGCAGCTCACTTTTGCATCCCCCAGGGACCAGTAGGCAGTAATTTCGAACTCCTGGACACAGTGATTGTATCATCTGGTGACTTGCAGTGGCATCTGTGTCTCTGCACAGGTGTAGGCACTACTTCTGTGAGAGCTGCGCCCTTCAACAGTATCGCAAATCCCAGCGCTGCTACGTCTGTGACAAGCAAACCAATGGAGTCTTCAACCCAGCAAAAGGTAACGGGCACTTGTGGGAGAGAGGACTTTCAGTGGGAGAGCCTGGAGCAGCCTGGCACCAGCTCCTGATGTATCTTCTTGGGGTTGGGCCTGGCTCTAAGCTGGAGCTCACAGCTCTTGGCTGCTGGCAGAGCTTCCTTTAGTGCAGGGAGATACTAAATCATGGCCTCGGGGGCTCCGTAGGTGTGAAGGGAGCATCTGTGCTCATTCCCCAGCTGGGGAACTTGGAGAGTGTGACTTCTGGTGAGGGTAGGGGGGATGTGCCCCGGGGACTAGATGCTCTAGTTGGCAGGTCAGTTACGCACTGATGGGCTCTGTCACTGCAACATCTGATGCTCTGGACTCCGCCAGCGATGATGGCTCCTAGCTGAGCCTGTGTGTAGCAAGTGATTTTTGGTAGCTGCCCTGTTTTTTGCGGAGATGGGTGTTTACAGGACGTGGGCACCTGGCGTCTCATCCTGCCTATTCCCATTTTTCAGAGCTCATGGCAAAATTGGAAAAACACAAAGGGGAGGAAGAGGAGGAGGAAGAGCAGCAGCATTCAGACCATGGAGAGGATCCGCAATAGCAGAACATCCCGTTTTCTATCTAGCTGAATAAAGCTTTCATGGGAGAAAAAAAAAGGCTCACAGCAGTTACCTTGGGGCCAGCAGCTGTAGCCAGTGCGTGTGTATCCAGCCAGCAGCTACTAAAACAGTGTCCTGAGTGTACTGGGCTCCTTGTTTGCTGCTCTTTGAAGGCACAAGATGGAACAGGTAAGGTGAGACTCGAGTTGTGCCCAAATATGGCTGCCTGCTACTGCCGTGCTGCTCGCAGGCCCCCAGCAGTTGTCTGAGTGCAGCAGTGCACCTGGGGAAAGAGGTGTTGAAGGCTGTGCGCTCAGTTACTTCCCAACTTCTTTTTTTGATTAAGGTGCTGCTGTTTCACTCCTAACTTTGCACTGATTCTGCTAGCTTCCTACGGCTGTGTAAGCATAAAACTATCCCTAGGTTCATTTAAGTCAGTCAGTCCATGATCTTTGAGCATGTAGTGAGCTGAAAGCATGGAAAGGGATGAGAAATACCAGCTTGCATTAAGTAAGTTCATCCTTCACCCTGAAAATGCTAGCTCAGGGGAAAGCAGGCTCGAGTGCGGTAGTTGTTTGTGATTTATTGTAGCTCAGTATATATTCCCTCCTGTCTTTTCTACCTGCCTCGGTTCCTAGGAGAAGTCAAGAGAGGCTCAGAACTTCAGTGGGCAACACCTATCAAATCATCCCTGTTCTGTGAGGAAGCCCATCTCCTCCAAACACAACACCTGCAGTATGTCACTAGCTCAGTCCCCAGGGTTTTATGCTGAGAGGTACTGTGCTTTTTCTTGCTCTAAGTACCAGCGATCCAAACCCTGTCCAGGCTTATGGGAGACGGCTAAGGATTTTCACAGACTGCAGCCTTCATGCCAAGCTAGGAAACCAAGATCTACCTGCTGTAATAAAATTCAATCAGGAACCAAACATGATCCTAGAGAGGAAGAAGTGTAGCCTGCCCTTACAAACACCCCTGCTCTGGGAGGATGAGTGCATTCTACTGAAACTTCCAGAGAAGAACAAGAAAGAAATATGTTTTTGAAAAGTGAAGACAGTTGCAACTAAAAACAGTGCTGTGACCTGTACAACAGCAACTGCTGTTGTATGTTCTAATGCCAGCTGGGTAAAAGCAGCAGCCTTTTAAGTAAGGAAACGAGAAGAGAGTTAAGTGTGTACAGACAGCCTGTGTCATCACCTTGCAACAACAGCAGCCTTTAAAAAAAGCAAACTTCAGAAATATTTTATTTGTTTTGGCAAAAAAACTAGAGTAACAAACTTTATCTGGGTTCAAGTACAGTTTATAAACACAAGAAGGACCTGTTGCCAGCACTACTACTCCCATCAACCACACAGGACTGGATTATTGGTGCTTCATTAAAGAGTAGAAAGACATCCGGCACCCATGGTCCTTGGCAGGGTCAAAGTAAAAGCCTTAAATACACCTCCAAAAAACAAATACCATGGAATGGGGGAGAGCTGCCACAGCAGCAGGGCAGGGTCACACAGCCATGAATCAAGGGGAGCCATGTGAGAAGCAACATTTTACCTGTCATTCAGTCAGGGAAGGCAGAACAGCAATGGTAATGGAAGGCTTAAGATCAATTCTGTACATAATGTTCAAAAGAGGAGTCATGAGCAAGAGGATTTAGCATGAAAATTAGCTGCTTTTTCCTCTGTGCCAGGGTAAGTCACCAAGAACAAGCTGGGTTGAGTGTTACATGCTGTGAAACCAGCCCAGCTAATGAGAGGCTCAACTAGATGTGCTGTGGGGGATAAAAAAAGCTGGTACAGTGCACAGGTGTACACACTCGCTTTAGTGACCCAGGCAGCCACGGGAGGAGAGGCTAGAATGCCCTGTCTGACCTGGAGTTCAGAGTGCTCGGCAGCAAGTGAGAGGAGTCTCCTCAAAAGCTCTCTCTGGAAGAGAAAAATCCAGTGCTGCCGAGGAATGCCCGATGCCATGAGTGTGCCTGGAATGGATGGAATCAGGTTGTCTTCCATCTCCCATTTTCCATCACAAAGCAGAGAATAAGTTTAAGAACATAATCCCTTCTCCCCCCTCTCCCCCCCCCCGCCCCAAACCTTACCCTGTGACAAGACTGTAACAGTAATCCAACTAGCTCTAAAAGAATGCCCAAAACTAAGAGCTGCCTGCCTCCCCTTAACTCTAAGGCACCCTTAGAAGAGAAAAAACAAAAGAGGGTAGGGACATGCAGTCTTCAACTGTGATACAAGGAAGCCAGTGATTTTTAGAAAAACATAAATAGAGACTAAACACACTCACACAACCCATTCGAGTGATCTACCAGTGCTCAGTTGCAAGAACTGGGGCTCTGGGCACTGCACCATCTGGAATACTCTACAGTTCCTTGGGGTCGATGCTTTTCCAGCTCAGGTCTGTCCATTTGTTTCCTGGCTACTTCTTAAGTAAACAGGCAGTTGAAGTTCCTTCCCAAGAACCTATAAACTCTTCTATGTGTAACATTCATCACCTTTTATGAAGAGGAAATAAATTACAATGTCCATAAAGCTCCTCCAGAGGCAGGTATAGTCCCTGTTTTTCTAGAATTCCCAGTCATCCACATCCAGCTGCTCCAGGTTTGACACCAGCCCAAAAATGCCGCTGGGATCCTGGGGCCGCGTTCCTTCAAAATTGGTGATTGGGGTGACGGGGCGCAGAAGTTCAGGGAGTGCTTCAGAAGCGCGGCGCTTGATCTGCACAGAAAGGAGAGAACTCAGCTGCTGAAATGCTTCCCCACAGCTGCGCATCACAGGTGAGCAACGTGTGGTTACAGGTAGAAAGAACACGGTATTATCCTCCCGCCTGCACCCAGAAGGGTGCAGGGCTTTCGCGCTGTGTCTTGTAACAAGAAAGTGCTTTGCAGGCAGTCTTTTCAGCAGCACTTGGGCGCTACGGTCCTGATGCTCCCCTCAGTGAAGCATCACCCTAACCCTCAGCTCACAGCAAGCGAGACAGATCGCTGCAGGGGCAGCAGAGCCTCTGCCTCTTCCCAGGCCAGGGCTGGAGCTCACCAACCTGCCACACAGCTGTAAGCAGTGCTCAGGTCACCTCAGTTTGGTCTCTAAGACCAGGCTAGGAGTGCCTTGCCCCAGCACTCTACAGTCTGCGGGTGAAAAACTTCTGGCATACAGGCCCAGCAGATTCACATCCTCTCTTTAGATAAGAGATGCACAGAGAGCAGCCTGTCCATCTGCCAGTGGAATATGAGGATCACCAAGGTGCACTACAATTAGTCAAACTAACTTAATCCTTTCAGATCACACAAAATTCAGCAACTCAACATTCCCACCCTGTAGTTGTGACACAGCAAGACAACAACAGAAAAGCTACCGATTCTTTATCTGCAGATTGAATGAGTTCCTTACCTGCTTGAAAAAGGGATGATTAAGTAGAGTGCCCGCGCTTGGTCTGTAAGAAGGGAGTTAGAATAAAGTAAGCACACAAGAAAATGCATCTGTGTTTGAAGTCAGGTAGCGGAAGAAAGAAGAGACGAGGGTCCTTCCACCCTCTCTCATTTCTCAGCTATAGGGTATCTCCCTTCTGTAACCAGCAGCACTGTTTATTATGTTCACGTGACGTTTTATGCAAGCAGTTCAGCCTTCTGCGCAAGTTACCTACTTGCACATGCCAGCGTTTGGTCAAGGGAAAGTGCCTGAAGAGGGTGGATGCTGGAGAAGTTTGTCATGGCTAAGGACAACCTTACGCTCTCTACAAAGGAAAATACAGTTCTTGATCACTTCCCATCGCTACTCTCTGCTGGCTGAACAGCAGACATTCAGAGTGATGGAAACTGGATAAACAGTCTCAGGGCCCAGAAACTCAAGTTGTTCAGTTTCTTTTCTTGACATGTAGCACCACTCTACCCCCCAAAGAAGGCTGCAAAGTAATTCTTCAGGATTTCTTATAAAAAGTGCTCAAACTGTTAACACTGCTCTTGTTTTACATACATGGACTGCTCTTCTCAGTGTATGGAGCACATCTTCACTCCACTATGCTTTCAGAAAGAAAACTTAGAACCACCTCTGCTGGCTCTCACAGTTTAATCAGCCCTAGAATAGTGCAGGTCTGTGAAGAGCAGCTTTCACCTGGCTTTACCTGAAATCAGGGTTCCGTTGGAGGCACTGCTCTACAAAGTTATGGAAGTAGGTGGAGAAGGTCCGAAGATAAGGGTGCAGGGTTGGCTCTCCGTTGGCCGCTCTCGCATTGCTAATAGCCATGCTCTCACCCATGCCGTAGTTAGCACTTGAACGGGAGCTCTTCATAGTCAGCTCATCAGCAGGAAGGCAGGGAACAGTTCCATTCAGCTTCTCCAAAAGCATCTGGAAGAGAGGGGCAGAAGCAACATCACACACAGAAAGACTAGACAGTTAAGATTTCCCATTCAGGTAGGCATGGCACCCTTCTGTCTTCACAGCCCAGTGCAGCAAAGCAGTTCCGTGTGCCAGGATCAAGGATGAGAAAAGAACAGCTTTTAAACCTTACCTGGGTAGAAGGCATGTCTTTAAATGGTACGTGTCCATTTGCCAGCTCACAGGCTGTTATTCCTACACTGTAAATGTCAGATTTTGCATCATAACCCTGGAGATTCTAGATGAAAGGAAAATAAAAATTAGCCTTGCGGACTTACATGGGATTGCGTGGGCAATACCCGCGATTCGATATGCAGAACAGCAAATCCAAATGGTTAGAGCAGAAACAGTACAACCCACATATAGGCTGGTTTATTGTGGTGGTGATTTTTTTGTTTGTTAAAACCCACAGTTAAGGGCAACATTTATTTAACTGAAATCAGCTAACTAGTAGGGATGGCATCTATTATAACACTTTGCTAATGGGAGAGTCTGTTAGAGGTACCTGCAATAAAACTGTTTAGTCAGTTTTAAATAGAATCAGACCAAATTCTATGCACTTGCCCTGCACCTGCCCCAAATCTGTTTCCTCTAGCCTCTCCCCTTCCTTTTCCTTGCATTCGCACACCTTCCTCTGGAGGGAAAGAAAAGACAATGTTGTAACATGGGATTCTCAGCAATTGCCCCTGTTTACAGGAATACAGGTTTCCCCTTGCTAGGGGTCAGTGATTTTAAGATAAAAAGAACAGAGTTCAAC